GGTGACACCGGGACTGACGGTGACACCGGGACCGACGGTGACACCGAGACCGAGCGGTGACACCGGGATTGACGATGACACCGGGATTGACGGTGACACCGGGACCGACGGTGACACCGGGACCGACGGTGGCCCCGGGGCTGCGGCTCAGGGGGCAGCGGGGCCCAGGGAACAGGGCGAGGCCGTGGAACAGCGGGGATGCCGCCTGTCCCCAGGGAGCCGCAGAGTGACACTTCACGGGCAGATGGCGACAGGACAAGGGGGAATGGCTTCCCACTGCCAGAGGGCGGCATTAATGGGATATTAACCCCTGTGAGGGTGGCGAGGCACTGGCACAGGTTGCCCAGAGAAGCTGTGGCTGCCCCAGCCCTGGAAGTGTTCAGGGCCCTGTTGGACGGGGCTTGGAACGACCTGGGCTAGTGGGAGGTGTCCCTGCCCAGGTCAGGGGGTAGAACTGGATGATGGGCTTTAAGGTCCTCCCAACCCAAACCCTTCCACGATTCTTGTTTAAGCCTCACACCTCTGTCACAGGGCAGTGTGGGTGCTGCTGGGGTGATCCTACAGAGCTCCAGACAGCAAGAAGCCCTCCTGTGCTGCCTGGGCTGAGAACAGGGCAAGGTCTCAGGGCTGGGGGGGGACATGACCTAAGCTGGGTTTAGGTGATGGGCCACATGTCAGCTCTGGCCACCACAAAAGGCTCATCGAGGTCCAGGTTTGCAGCAAGGGGGGAAGTGCTGCTGAACATGTCCTGGAGGCCATGCTGGGGGAATGTGCCCACTCTGCCCACCTGGACTGGGCACAGGGCTGCCCTCTGTGCACCCTGAGAGCTCTGTCCTGCAGATGGGTCACATTCCCATCGCTCTGCAATGGAAACACGGAGTAGTTTGGAGAGCAAACAGAAAGGTGGGAGTGGGTGAGACTCCTCCAGCGCCACCCTGGAGGTATCTGCCCCATGGGCCATCCCGTCCCCAGGACATCTGGCCCTTCAGTGTCTCCAGGCCAGCGCTGTAGCTCACAGGGACATGTCACTGAGATGTGGCTGTGAAGCCAGAGCTCCTCTGAGCCCCTCAGGGCTGACCCCCCACAGGGGTCTCCTCGGTGCTACTCTCCTTGGTGAGAGCTGAGACCCAAAGCTCTGCCAGGCTGTGATCCATGATGGGCTCTAACCCATCTGTGATACCTTAGGAGTAACATCGTTTCAGGATTTGGCCCTTAAGCCTGGATTTTCTGGGATAATTCAAAGAGAAACAGCAGGTCCAGTTTCTCTTCTCCTGATAGCTTTGTGGGGC